GAACCGCAGTCGACTACATGGGAGTCCAGTGACATAGCCATTATGCCAACTGCTGGTTCCCTGGACTTCATTTTTCTAAGAACCCAATTAAAACTTACTTTTAAGTATTTCTTTGGGAGAGGAGACACTACATTCTATTCAATTAAGAAAAAGATTTTTATTATTACTTAACTTTATTAATTATTATTACTTGCTATGGTACATACACATGCATTCACCAGAGAGAGGCAGACAGAGTGAGAAGCAAGTCACCATGTCCGGGACTCAAACCATGGTCAGTCATGTGGGAGTCCAGCACCTTAACCACCACACCCTCTGCTGGCCCTTTTTATTTATTTTAAACACCTATTATGCCATGAATTCATAGGGAATATATTCTGGCAACTCAGGCTCCTTTCCATTGGTCCTCACCAAATGTGGCTCTCTGGGTGGAGCAGGCTGGTGCTTCAGGTGAACACAGGTACCTTTCTCTTTGGCTTCCTGCTTTTTCTGCTCATTTTTCTTCATACATTTTAGGAAGCTATCTCTAAGAATGCTTAATATGCTCAGTACACACAGTTCTTTCAGCAAGAATCTAGCTCATAACCTGTTTACAAAAATGACAACAGCATGCTGGGCAACACTGTTAGATAGATCTTTCTGGTTTTGCCATGGTAACATTTGTAGGGCATTCTTTTCTAAACAGTACCCATTCCCTTGATGTCTACAATATCACCTTTCTTGTAGATTTGTGTGTATGTTATCAAAGGAATAAGTCAATATCTTCTAAAGGGCCTAGAGAACATATATCAGGTGTCGTCATTTTGGCAAATTACTAAAAGATGGGAGCTCTGGCCAAGAGTTGACTTACTTTCCACAGCTTTCTCTTTTCTTTTTTTCATTGCCAGAGTACATGTGCACAAGGGGAAGAGAGAGACAGAAAGTATCCCCTAACAAGACATGGTCAATCTACGATATTTTTCCTCCATGCACACACAAGACTAATGTATTTTGTTTCAGGGATTTTTGCCTTAGGGGGAAGGTGCTCACCAGAGAAAGAGAGACAGAGACAGCGAGGGAATGTCAGAAATCACCCACCAAGGGAGATGGCCACGCCACAATCCCTTCCCCTCCATGTTCTTCCCAGGATCTTGAGCACACACGCACATGCCCCTGGTCTGATTTTCAAGTCACCGGATCCAGGACTCGAACCATGGTCGGCCATGTGGGAGTCCAGTGACACAACCATTACACCATCTGCTGGCCCTTCAGCGTGCTTTTCAAGGCACTGGGGCCAGGATTCAAACTGCAGTCAGCCATGTGAACTCCGGCTCCCAATGCAACACTCAACCACTTTGCTACAGGGCTGGCTCAAAATTTTTAAAGTTATAGAAAGGGTTTATGTCTAGCTTCTGAGATTTTTTAAAAACTTTTTAAAAGATTTTTTTTACCAGAAGATCCATGCACTAACCAGACAAGGACAGAGAGACAGTGAGAGGGGAAGTGAGAAATCACTCTCTGGGGGTGGATGGCCACACTGCAATCCCTTCTCCTCCATTCTCCTCCTGGAATTGTGGGCACACACACACACACATACACTTGAAATTATTTTCCAGCCGCTAGGTCTGGAACTTTAACTGCAGTTGGCCATGTGGGAGTCCAGTGCCGTAACCAGCATGCCACCTGCTGGCCCCAAAATTTTTAATTTTTAAAGCTAGTGTTTCTGACTCTTTTTTTTTTTTTTTTTTTGAGGGCCATTCTCCTCCTGGAATTGTGGGCACACACACACACACATACACTTGAAATTATTTTCCAGCCGCTAGGTCTGGAACTTTAACTGCAGTTGGCCATGTGGGAGTCCAGTGCCGTAACCAGCATGCCACCTGCTGGCCCCAAAATTTTTAATTTTTAAAGCTAGTGTTTCTGACTCTTTTTTTTTTTTTTTTTTTGAGGGAGTTTTTGCTAATTTTTAAAGCTAGTGTTTCTGTCTTTTTTTTTTTTTTTTTTTGAGGGAGTTTTGACGTCATCTACCAGTCCTATCTAATTCTTATTATGTGAAGTAAGGACTTTAAATCATCTTCCCCAATCTTCACAATAAACTTAAATTATTTTACAGATGAGGAACCCGTAAGAAACAGTCTGGCCCATGTTTCAAAACCAGAAAGAAGTAAAACTAGAATTCAAACTTAAAGCCAGTGCCAAAAATCTACATTCTTAAATACCACACAATATTTAAAAGACAAATATAATGTGTCACCACAATCCACTACCTGAGAGCGAGAGAAAATTGATATATTTCTGGAACCCAAGAATCGAAATTGAGCCAAAATCTATAAAAATCTTCATAAAATGGTTTTATCTTTCATATATTCTTATAACATTATGTAATAGGTATCATTTGATGTCTATTAATTCCTCCCCCTTCCTTTTTTTTTTTTTTTTTTAAAGTTTTTGCTATAGGGTGCGTGTTCTTGCCAGAAAGACAGAGTGAGAGACAGAAAGCGAGAAATCACCCCCAGGGGGGATGGCCACACCACAATCCCTTCTCCTCCACTCTCCTCTTGAGATCTTGGGTATGCATGCATGCACACGCGCCCGGGATGAATTTAAGCCACGGAGTCTGGAACTCGAACCTTGGTTGACTACATGGGAGTCCAGCAACTTAGCCATTACCCCAATTGCTAGTCCCTATGCCTTCCTTCTTAACAAGACTCCAATTTTGCTTCAGAAGTCACCACGCTTGGGCCAGCAAATGGCATGATGGTTAAGATGCTGGATCCCACATGGCCGACTCTGTGGTTCGAATCCCATATTCCTGAAAAGACACTGGGCACGTGTGTGTCCAAATCCCAAGAAGAAACAAGGAGAAAGAATTGCAGCATGGCCATTCCTCCTGGGGGTTGATTTCTCTCTCCATGAAGCACATGTGCCCTACAGCGAAATTGTAATAATGATAATAAGTCAATGTGTGTAAGTTAAAACGATATTTTCCCGTTTCCCTTGCAGGGTAGCCACAAATTTGGTCAAGTATGAGGGGAATATATGCTGGAGAGTCCCAGATAATGTTTGCTTTACTAATTGCTGCAGACTGGAGAAATGGCAATTTTTCAGTCATAAGGCAAAGATGAAATTAAAAATGATATGCTAAGGATGAAGGAACTGAATGAGCTTGGGACACTGGGGACATCATAAAACCATCAAAAGCAGCCCCCGATTACTACCTATGAGCTCCTTGTCTGTGGGAACAATGAACCCTTACTTAGGGTAAGCCATGGCAGGCAAGCACATGTGGCCCGGAATAAGCCCCAGAAGATAACTAACTATAAACTCACAAATAGGGCTGGCCTTACCTGTTTTCACACAAAGACCACTAAGGCAAAAATGAAACACAAATAGAAGAATGGAGAGAAAAAAAAGGTAATTGCTACTTTATATTTTTTAAAGAATTATTTTTATTTAATTTTATTTATCATCACTATTATTTTTTAATTTCTACAGGACACATGCACTCACCAGAGAGACAGAGAGAGAAATAAAGAAAGCAAGCCACCAGGTCCATAACTTGAATCATGGTCGGCTATGTGGGAGTCACCAAAAGGCCACACAATGACTCCAAACCTTAACCACCACACCACCTGCTGGCCCCACTATTTTATATTTACAATAAACGTAAACTAATTTCAGGAACCCAAAAACTCAGGGGGACAACTTAATTCATTTTGCCATCTTCTCAGAAATGTGCAAAATAGTTAAAGCACTAGTGTCAAAAGAGAAACTAAATGTGTCGCCATTTCGTGTGTGACACCAAGTGTCATAAGATGGCAGTCCATAAAGTCTACTCTAGCCCATAGACCATTCTTTCACTCAGACTGCATAATTCAAATGTAAATTTTTCTTAAAAAGTAAATAAGAAGGCAACACTACAGGGGAAGGGCTATAATTAAGTGGTGCTTGTAATTTTAACAGTCGCTTCCCACTTTGCAGCAGTTATCTCTAGTCCAGCACACTCTCTGTGCCCTACAGTTTTATTCGTTCCTATTACCTGCCTGACTTCTGTAAGAAATCTACTTTTGCAGGCAGCAGATAGTGTGGTGGTTAAGGTGTTGGACTCCTACATGGCCAATCACAGTTCGAGTGCCAAACCCAGTGGCTTGAAACTCACACTGGGTGCATGTGCATGCATGCCCAAAAAGCCAAGGAGAATGGAGAAGAGACTGCAGTATGACCATCCTCCTGGTGGAGGGGAAAATGATTTCTCACTTTCTCTCTCCCTGTCTTTGTCTCTCTCTAGCAAGCACGTGTGCCCTGTGGCAAAAACCTAAGAAAAGAAATCTAACTTTAATACTTGCTTTAAACCTTACAGTGAACTATCATCCTCCTTTAACGCTCTAGCTCTACTAACACTCTTATTATAACTCCCCATTACTAAATTTGTTAAACACACAGGTGGTATAACCATTTACAATATAAATGACTTCCCTCTCCTCTAATAGTATATCTTAAAGATCTATATAAAGCCACAAATGAAACTCAGGGTGTATTTTAAGATCCTTTGAAAACGTTCTCAATCATGTAAAAATTATCTTAGAAAATCAAAAACCAATTTTAGTCTTTACCTTTCATGACAGCCTGAAGTGAAGCAACTTCTTCTCTCCACTGCCTTTTCACTTCATCTATGGCTTCTTGCTTAGTATTCTCAGAGACTGTGGCAATAGCTTTAATATTCTCCATCTCTGCTTGAGCTTCCCATAGCTGTGTCCTAAGGTGTCCCAAATCATCTTGTGCAGCTTGTAACACTGCATTTTGTCTCTTCAGATCCTCTGGGAGAAACCATAAAAGACTTCCATTAATGAAGGGTTCATTTTTATCAGGCTGACATTCAATGAAGAAATTAAGAAGTTAACATAAAAATTACATCATTCAGGGACCAGCAGATGGTGTAATGCTTAGGTCACTGGACTCCCCACATGGTTGACTATGGTTCAAGTCCGGACCCAGCAGCTTAAAACCCACACTGGGCATGTGTACATGTATGCCCAAAATCCTGAATGAAGAATGGAGGAGAAGGGACTGTGTCCACCCCCCTTCTCCAGGGAGGGGTATGGTTTCTCACTTTCTGTCTCTAGTTGTCTCTCTGGCAAGTGCACGTGCCCTATTGTAAAAATCTCTCTTAAAGTAAAAAATGTATCATTTTAATATATATGGTGAGATTTAAGGTATCCTAGGTATCACAAATCAATTATTAATTATCTAATGATAGAATGGTTAAGACTGTTTTAGAGAGAAGGTTAGGGTTTTTTTTATCTGCTGGCTAAGTGAACTTGGTCAAGTTATTTAACCTTATTAGTCTAAGTTACTATATCTATAAAATGGGGATTAAATTGCTACTTCAGGGACTAGCAAATGGCATAATGGTTATGTCACTGGGTTCCAACATAGTCTCGACCGCAGTTTGAGTCCCGGACCCCGTGTCTTAAAACTTACACAGGGGGCGGGGGGCAGCAGCACATAGCATAATGGTTAAATCACTGGACTACCATGTAGTCAACAGCTGTTCGAGTCCTAGACCCTTGTCTTTAAACTCACATTAGAGGGACTAGCAGATGGTGTATGGTTATGTCACTGGACTCCCATGTAGTTGACAGCTTTTCAAGTTTTGGGCCTGCAGCTTAAAACTCACGCCGGGCACAGGTGCATGCATGCCCAAGGTACCAAGAGGAGAATGGAGGAGACAGGATTACAGCATGGCCAACCTCCCTGGGGGGTTATTTCTCACTTCCCTTCTCTCTGTCTCTCTTTCTCACCTTCTCTTTCTCTCTCTCTCTCTCTCCTGGTGAGTACATGTACCCTATGGCAAAAAGCTCTTTAAAAACAACAACAAAAAAGTCCCAGACCTGGCAACATCCCAAATGTGTCCAAAATCTCAAAAGGAGATACGGTCGAGAAAGGATTATGGGGGGACCATTCCCCATGAGGGGTGTTTTTTCTTCTTCTTTTCATTTTCCCCAGAGGTTTTTGCTATAAGGCACGTGCGCTCGTCAGAAAGACAGAGAGACAGAAAGCGAAAAATCACCCCCCAGGGAGGATGGCTACTCCACAATTCCTTCTCCTCCATTCTCCTCTCGGGATCTCAGGCACGCACACACATGTGCCCTGCATGAATTTAAGTCACTGGGTCCAAGACTCGAACCGTGGTCAACTACATGGGAGCGACATAGCCATTACACTAACTGCTGGTCCCAGAAGGATAATTTTTCATTCCTCCTCTCATTCATCTCTCTGTAAAGCACACACCCTCTAGAAAGACATAATTTTAAAAATCCTTCTAACCAGGCCAGCTCCAATAGTGCAGCAATTAAGCATTATAGAGATGCTGGGGTTGGCAGGTGGCATGGTAGTTAAAGGTGCTGGATTCCCACATGGCCAATAATGGTTCGAGTCCCGGAACTGGCAGCTTGCTTTCTCGCTTTCCCTTACTGTCTGACTGTCTCTGGTGAAATTGAAAAAATAATAACAAATGGAATTAAATATATAATTTTTTAAAAGGGGCCAGCAGATGGCATAATGGCTATGTTGCTGGATTCCAATGTAGTCGACCGCAGTTTGAGTCTCGCACCCGGTGGCTTAAACTCACTCCAGGCACGAGTGTGTGCATGTCCAAGATCCAGAGAGGAGAATGGAAGCAAAGCAATTGTGGCATGGCCATCCCAAGGGGGATTTCTTGCTTTCTGTCTCTCTGTCTCTCTGTCTCTCTCTCTCTCTGTCTTTCTGAAGAGCTCACATGCCCTATAGCATAAACCTCTCCAAAAAAAAAACAAACAAGAGGAAGCTGGGTCCCACAAGGCCAACCATGATTCAAGCATCAGCCCTGACAGCATTAAAAAGATGCCACGTGTGCATGTGCATCTGCCCAGGATCATGAAAGGATGAAGAATTGAAGAGAAAATGGATTGCAATGTGACCAGCCTTCACTAGTGGTGCTTATGTGCACATAGGTGCTCTCTCTCATCTTTTCTCTCATGCGTACACATGTGCCCACTGGCATAAAAATAAAATTTGGGGCTAGCAGGTGGCGTGGTGGTGTTAGACTCCCACATGACTAACAGTGGTTCGAGTCCCAGACCCAGCAGCTTACTTTCTGCCTTTCTCTCTCTCTGGTTAGTGCATGAGCTCTAAGGCAAATTAAAACAATAATAAATAAAATTAAATAATTATTTTAAAATATAAATAAAATCTAACAATTTTAGTTAAGAAAACATGATAGATATCTTAATTTTTTAAATGTATTGAGCCTTCCTTTAAAAGGTACATAAGCAATATCTTAAGCTTCCTGTATAAGCACACAGAAACATGCATATTGTAGGCACAGTGGCCCTGGGAGCCAGATGCCTCATGGTGGTGGTTCAAATTCCAGCCCTGCAGGTATGAAAAACATGCCAGTTGTATGTGCATGTATACTCCACATCCTGATATGACAGTAAAACGGAGGTAAAAGGATTGCCGCATAATCCCCACTGCAGTGTTTTCTCTCTGGCAAGTGCATACACCCTTTAGAAAGTTACAATTTTAAAAAGCATGCATATTTTGTTTCTTAAATACAGATTTCCTAGGATATCAACCTTATTTTAAAGAATTGTTTAACTTTATTATTTTTTTATTTAAATTTATTTACGTTCATTCACTGTACATCATTACAGCATACAAAATGAGATTTTCCATCCAGAGTACACTGTATATTTAATTTTATTATTTTTTAAATTATGCTATAGAGTACGTGCACTCACCTGAGAGATAGTGAGAAAGTAAGCTGCCAGGTGCAGGATTCAAACCACAATTGGCTATTGGGAGTCCAGTGCCTTAAGGCTTAAACACCATGCTACCTGCTGGCCCCAGGATATTAACCTTTAAATTCTGTTACTCGAAGCTATTTTATCTCTACCTTAATATTATATCTAGCAGTTGACAGACTGTTAAACGTTTCCCATGTGTCCATTTATCAACTTATAATTCTATAACCTTTGTTTCATAAGATAGGCCAAAGGTATTTTGTTAGGTACATAAAAGTTCATGATTCTTACATTTCTTTAGTAGACGTTCCCTATGATATAGCCTCCCACATTCCTTCAATGCTTTTGCCTTCAGCACCATCTTACTGTTATTGCGTAGCTTTACTTTTTTTCCTTTGGGGGGAAAAAAATGCGGCCAGCTCCATAGCCTGGTGATTAAAGCAACCAGATCCCACATGGCTGATCACTCAGTTCAAGTCCTAGACCGGGCGGCTTGAGACACACAAGGCACGTGTGGGTGCAAGCCCAAAATCCCAAAAGGAGGCAGAGATGGAGGAAAAGGAACTGTAACATGCCCATTCCCCCTGAGGGGCGCTTTCTCCTCTCCTGTCTGTTTCTGATGAGTACACATGCCCTCTACTAAAAACAAACGTGAATTGGAGAGATTTTCGGTGTCTAACAGTCACATTTGTCCATGTCCAGGCTTAGCATTGCTTCTTACAGATTACATATTCCCTCTATGGTTACTTTACTTCTTACGCATGTATATATCTACTAGTTCTTCCAGTGATTATGGGGCAGATGAAAGCCTCAGTTTTTGTATGCCTGAAATAACCTATTTTTCTCTACTCTTGAATAATTTAGCTGCACAGAAAATTTTTGGTTTGACAGTTTTCTCTGCACTTTGAAGCTCTTATCTCATTGTCTTCTGACATCTATTGTGCTTACATGTTATCTCCTATCAGTATAACCGTTTTATCTCTGATTGCTTTAAAATTTTTTTTCATTTTTGATGTTCCATAATTTAAGATGTGTTATGGAATGCTTTTTTTTTTGGAGAAGTTTTTTGTTATAGGGCACATGTGCTCGCCAGAAAGACAGAGACAGATAGAGAGACAGAAACGGAGAAATCACCCCCCAAGGGGGATGGTCATACCACAATTCATTCTCCTCTTAGGATCTTGGAAATGCACACACATGCACCTGGCGTGAGTTTATGCCACCGAGTCCGGGACTCAAACTGTGGTTGACTACATGGGAGTCCAGCAACATAGCCATTATGCCAACTGCTGGTTCCAGTATGAATTTATTATTATTTGTCCTACTTGGTACTCAGTATTTATGCCAAAGACCTGAGATTTTTTTCTTTAAAGAATTATTTTATGGGAACCAGCAGTTAGCATAATGGCTATGTCGCTGGACTCCCATGTAGTCGACCGCGGCTCACGTTCCAAACCCAGTGGCTTAAAACTCACGCCGGGCACATGTGCGTGCGTGCCCAAGATCCCGAGAGGAGAATGGAGGAGGAGGGATTGCGGCGTGGCCATCCCCCGTGGGGGTGATTTCTCGCTTTCTGTCTCTATGTCTCTGTCTGTCTGGCGAGCACACGCACCCTATAGCGAAAACCTCTCCAAAAAAAGAGAGAATTATTTTATTAGTACTCCTGTTGCTATTTTAATTTGACCAGTGAGAGGGAGGGAAAGTGAAAAAGGGAAGTTGCCAGGTCCGGGACTAGAACAGTAGTTGGCCATGTGGATGTGGGAGTCCAGTGCCTTAACCTCCACCTGCTGGCCCCTCAACATTTCCTTTAGTATCTGTAAAACATCACTTATCTCCTCAAATATTCTCTCCTATTCCTCATACTCTCTTCTCCTAGAACTCTTCCTAGATGTGTGTCAGAGGCTCTCGATTCATGATGTATATCTTTGATAAACCCTTTGATATTTTCCTTCAGCTCGTTAGAAGGGAGAACTACTCAATACTGTTTTCTAATTTACTAAAACCTCTGCATCTTGTCTAGAGTTTAAACTGGT